TCCTAAATTGGCTCATAGAGCTAGGGATGCCCTTCTTAGCTGTGACCAGCACAAATGTCTGCCTCAGTAAAGGTGAATGTCTAGTGATGCTGCTATTCGTCTGGTACATGTAAAGATGTCCAACATCACCAATCATCAGGGAAATGCAATAAAAACCACCACGAGACACCACCCCACGCCTGCCAGAATGGCCACCATCAAGCAGATACCAGTGTTGGCAAGGATGCGCAGAAGAGACTAGAACTTCATTGTTCCAACCACAAAAAAGAAAGGACAATTATGTAATGTTATAGAGGTGCTCATTGTTGCTCCTGTGGCAATAGAGATGGGTTTTTTCCCTTGAAAAATGCCGTGTCTCTGTTGAGTGCGACACATTCACTCCAAATTTCCTGTTTCAGCCAGTGGAGATTTGTCACCAGGTGACATGCTGTACATTTCCTTATGGCATATCAAGACGGCCTGAAAGATATATTACCTCAATTAGGTGTGTCATACCATCTGCCACAGACAATCCAAAATGCCCTCTCTGCCACCTGATGGAACAGAGATGATTTATTCAGAAAGTGGCTGGAAAGCTGGCAAAGGCTCCGGGCTTCGTGGAGGGAAGAGCCGCTGTCAGGAGACACAAAAACAAACACCTCACCCATGATAAGAAGGGAATGCCGGCTGAACACCATGTACAAGGGAGCCCAGCAGATGCCCTTATTAAATTAGCTTCGTTTACAGTAGATTGCAGGTCCCAGGCTGGCTTAACATGAATGGATCTTGACATAACCGTTGGAACCTGGCAGCCTGATTAGTTATTCGGCAGCTGCTCAGCCACACCACCTGCATATGTTGTTGTGCAGGTGATGTGTGGTTCCGAAAGCCTCCTCATTAAAGACTGACATGCAAATTGCCACGCATGTGCCATCTACCACCCCTCGCATGTTTGATGGGAGGTGAACAGGATGTGGCATGCCGGCAATTACTCTGATTTCCTTCCTCCCAGCAGGATGACCAGGAAGAGGGGAAGTGCACACTGAATGCTTTTTATGCTGGAGAATCAGCAGTGAGGTGTGAGTGGTACGCATGTGGTTCCCAGAGGAGAGTGGGGCCTTCTGTCTTCCTCATAGCAAGAATGCGCTGGCTCACACCTTATCACCACCAACCCGATTCTTTTTCCCAGCCAATGGCGGGTGGATCTGACCCAGGCTTGTGGTTTTTCACCCCACCCCTGGCAGCTTTGAAACCCTTTACTCGGAAACCCTCAAGGAAATGCCGGGGTCCAACCCCAGCAGGTCCAGGGGTTCCCAAAGGTGTAGACGGAGTCGGCGAAGAAGGAATGACACGGAGACAGCGTTCAGTTGATCAGCAGCCTAGCCAGGATCTCCAGCCAAGTTCTGGTCTGGACCTCCTGAGAAGTTCTGCCGTTTATTGTCTTGTTACATCCGTATTTATACCAGTTGATTTTAATCCTGTCAATTTCTATTACAAAGGTTAGGGCATTTCTTATCTCCATTCCAGGGAGTAAAGATTATGTAGCTTAAGCGTGATTGTTCGTAGTTAAAGTGATTAACTACCTGCCTGGCACTTAGTTAAGGAGTTTCATCCCCTCCCTGACTTCAGGGAAAAATCCCTACCTGGGGAAACAACCTTTCTCGGAGAGGTGACCTTGGTTAAAACACACAGCGCTAAGGGGAGCAAACATATTAAGAACAGTATGCTATATACGCCAGGTCCCTTGAAACATATGCTGTGCCGATGTTTCTTTCCTGCAGCGACTGTGTCAAGGAGCAAGGATGGACCGCTTCCGGCAAGGAAAGCATTGCTCAGTCTCAGCACTGTTGACATCTTCTACCTGCCAAGTCTTTGTTGTGGGGGTGGGAGGTTCTTTGCATTGTAGGATGTTTAGTAGAATTCCTGGTCTCTACCTATCAGATGGCTGCAATATCTCCCCAGTCATGACATTCAGACATGAAAATGTCCCCTGTGTTAGGAGGGGTAAATCGTCCCTGATTAGGAACCACTCCATTAATAGTTTTGGTGACAAGAGAAGCCAGAGTTCTCCATGGTCAGTCCCATGTCACTTTTCAACCAACTGCAACCTGTTGACATAACCAGTGATAGCCATCTCAATGACTAAGAAGGAATATCCGTTGTTTTTCCATGCTGGTAATAGGGCTACCAAGGAGACCAAAGTCTTGGACATAAGAGATTTGTGGCTCTAACATTATTAAAATCCTGTTCCTACCAGTCATGACAGAGATAAAAACGCCAATTTATGAGCGGGATTAAACTGTAATATTAGCCAGCCTCCCTAAGGTGATATGAATAGCTCCTAACAAAACAATTTTGATTCAGCCAATGTTCGGCAGATCATCATAAAGAATAGGGGATGGGCACCACATAACCAAATCGATTTAGGAATGAAGCATTTGGAGCTTGTCAGCTGTTCCCCGTGTGGTCCTGCCAAATAGTGTTGAAGTCACCGTGCACCAGTGGCCTCTGCACATTTATCCTCATTATCTCTAAATATAATAATGAGAGTCTACATTCTCATGGAGCCTTAACACATTTCATACCACTCAGGAGTTTTCTCGTGTTTTGTGCACCATCTGTTAAGGACCGCTCACGAGTGTTCTCGTTTTTGACGCCCATGGAAAAAGGAGCGAATCTAGATACTTACGTAAATTTTGTTTGGTCCCTCTTCATAGAGGAAAATGTTTTACGCAGTACCATACGTTAAAAAAGTACTAGGAACTTCAATTGTTTGTTTTTGTAAATAAAAATGTTATAATTATTGAAAAACAACACCTAAAGTGCATTATGAGGATTTAAATAACGTGCAGTTTGCCCAAAAACGTGCGGTCCCTGGCGTATGTCTTAGAGATTTCTATGCGGTGCGCAATGTGTTATTTGTTATGCCCAGATTTCAAGATTCCCAAGAGCCCACCAGGGAGCCAGCGAGTCTGATGCAAAAGCAAAGAGTCCTTTATTTCGAACTAGTTCGGCTCCCCGACCACACTCACCGATGCAACGGTAAGCGCAGTGGTAGTGAGCGAAGCCTGATGGGACGAGGAGTTTTATAGTGGGGTGGAGTAAGGGCAGGAGAGGGGACTGTGGGCCCCACCGATTGGCCAGGCGCAAATCGGTGTCTCATTACACAGGATGTGGTCATGTTGATGGCATGCACTTCCCTTGATTATCATTGGTTAGTCCAGAGAAATCCTGGGTGTTGCTAGCAGAGGCTTCTTCCGGGAAGAAGCCTTGCCGAGCACATGACTCTGCCCCAAAATGGAGGATCCAGGGTAAGATGGAGAGAGTCGTCCCTTTCATTATTAAGTTACTTCCTGATACTCACGGGGGACCTGAACTATTTTACGTCTCCAGGGCACAGCAACAACAGTATTGTCGGTGACACCTCACTGCCTGGAAACAGTCTCTTAGTGTTTGGCACAAAAGCATGAGTTCAGTGCAAGTGACAACATAGTAACCCTGTCCCATAAAACAGAGACATACATGGTGACCCTAGTCTGTACACTGGGTTACAGGGAACCATAGCCCTAGTCTTTGTGAGCAGCTGAGACTTTATTTTTTCCTTGGGAGTTTTTGTAGCACACTCATATTCAAGCTAGAACTTTGATTTTTGTTCTTAAGTCCACGGTTCTTGTTACATAATAAAGTCTTGTGACTTATCAATCAGAGTCTCTTGACTCTGATAACTACAGCACACACTAAAGGGAGAAGAGGGGAGAGGGAGAGGGGGAGGGGGATAGAAACACCAGTGATGAGAGAGAATCATGGATCAGAATCATTGATTGGCTGCCTCCTGTGCGCCCTACACTAGAATCAAGTCTGCAACCCGGGCCTGTGTCCTGACCAGGAATCGAACTGTGACCTCCTGGTTCATAGGTCACCGCTCAACCGCTGAGCCACGCCAGCTGGGCTCCAGCAAACACATTTTAAAGAACTCCAACACCTTCCCAAAGCCTACCAGGAGAAGTCAAGTCTTTAGACTTTGCAGACTATTTAGACACCGATGGAAATTATCACATTGTTGGTCTGGGAGCAGCTTCTCCTCAGTGAGAACTTATTAAACAAAGACCCTGAGTACCCCCTGTCCTGCCAGCAGGATCCTTGCCTTTTCCAACCAGCCCCACTTCCCTCCCAGGGTTGTGAGAATCCCAGCACCAACATAAACCCAGCGTGTCGCACGGAGTGTTTGTGTTCACAGAGTTGTTCATTGTGCTCAATCCTTTAAACATAGCAGATGGCTTTTCAATTTGTCTAGAAAACCCCTTTAGAGACTCCGTATTTGCTCATTAGAGTGGTTTTGTTTCAGGCTGTGACATTTTGGCATATCCACACCATCACGACAGTGCTGGAATATTCATCAGCGAGCCAGCCCCACTCCCGGCCTGAAAGGGCACGTGTGTTCATTTTCTTCCACACCCGGTGCTGAGATGCCAGCTGATAAAACACAAAGAGCAGGGTGGGGATTTTCAGTTTCGGACCACACTGTTAATGTGCAGGGTTACATTCCCATGGTTGGATAAGCGAAAGGCTATCAGGGAATTTCCCCAACACAGACAATGTTCTTCTCACTTAGGTAGTGGACATTTTTTTCACTGTGATTGCAGCGTAAACTCTTCTGAGGCCACCTCACATTTCAAATCCAGACACTCACCTATCATAAGTACATGGAATAATTTCCATAGCAACCAAGCCTCCTTCTTTTCGGTTTTTTAGTATTCTCATTTTAAAATGCAAAGCAGCTGGTTGGTTAGTTGCATAAATCACAGCGCCCCCCACCACCACCACCACCACCACTACCCCCCCAATGGAATTGATTAAAAATGTGCAGAACGTAGAGGTCTTATTTTTCTGGAAATTATAGAATGTTCAATAAAAGCCCAGTTTTTCATAATCACGTAGCTTTGTGCTATTCTTTCTCATGACTTTAATCTCTGTATCCTTGCCAAACAAAAAAAAGGAGCCAGAAATAACAAATACTTTCCAAGCCGAGCCTACCATGGAGGTGGGTAGTTTCCATTCCTTTCATCTTCCCTTATTGTAGCAGCTGAAAGGGGGCTCTGGAGAGCGTTCCATTCCTGAAATGGAGTCTTAATAGATGCTGAGAGAGTTGCTGGGTTATCCGAAGAATCCTGACCGATACTGATGAAGGAAAAACACTTCAGAAAACATCCCAAACTGTTTGAATCTAGAGACATCCATGTGAACAATCACCAGTCTAATTCAAAGTTTGTTTTTATGGAAACCTTCTCACAAGAGAGTCACACTCCACACGATGCTTTTCCCTCCTCCTGTCCCCACCCATGCCTACCTCTCTGCCCCCTCCAGCACCCCAGCCATCAGAGAACAGGCCCTCCCGAGGCCGTCTTCCGGGGTGCTGGCCTCCCAGGCCATCTGTGAAAGTGCTTTATGCAATATGAGTGTGCTTCCCAGGGGCTTCTGAAAACAGATACAATGACCCTCGAATCCATAAACCTCTTTTGTCAGTACCTCTCCTAGATCTGAGCAGGAAGGTTTCCTGCCCAGGGCTCCATGCTGAAGAGAGCCCCACATATCACAAGCACACACACACAACGTGATATGAAGCACATGGGTGCCTCTGTGTTGGAATCTGCTTCTCAACTGTGGCAACATGTAAATTCTAACTTTAAATATTCATGCTTCTAACTGACACGGTTCAGGTCCTGGGGAAATGTTTCTTCTCATCCGTTTCTCTACATCGTACTGGTAGAAACCAAAGCCACGATACCCAAACACCATGAAGGTCTGAGTTATGCCCCTATTCATAGTGAATATGGATACAGTGAGGGGCCAAAAGGGGATGTAGGCGGCAGATGTACTAAAGTTAAAAAAATATTTAAGACAAATTAATTTGTCAAACCTTACCCTCAGCATGGAGGTAATAACTTCATGCAGAACAAAGGATCATTTCCCAGGAAGGTTGAACATCATTTTTCTTGCTTTTCTTTGTGTTCCAATTCATGATTCTGGAGATCTTCACGGGTTGGTGCAATATTTATAAGAGTTGGACTTGGCAGAGGAATATTTTGCAAACAATTCATTCTTCCCTGAAATGTGTGCATGTAGGAATAACACCAAGAAGCATGATACCACTTCTTTATGTTGGCAACTAGTTGGAAGATGAACTGCAAATAGTTCGATGAGAATATTTAGTAAAATGGAATAACATTTAACAATATATTTAAATATCAGCTTCATTTTAATTCTTTTTATTGAAAATGTTATATTCATTAATTGCAGTCTACGTTTTTGCCTTTAAATTTAATTGGTAATTACCAATATTAAGTTTTATAATGCTATATAAGAATAATAGCTTTAATCCACTCATCTGCTGATGGGAACCTAAGCCGTTTAGTATAATAAATACAAAAACTCTCAAAAAAAAGAAAAATAGCTTTACAGAAAATTTTCAATTTGTCATTTATGAAGGTAAAATTTCAAGGTAGGAAAATACAACATATTTTATTCAAAAGTTTGTCAACTGATTTATAATTATCAATGCCCAGTATACATAAATGTTAGGAGCAGGCTTGTTTTTTGCCTTTAGTCAATAATTCCCATTTTTTCCTTATGACCCAGCAATTCCACTTCTGGGTATATATCCAAAGAAACCCAAAACACTACTTTGAAAGAAATGCACCCCTATGATTATTACAGTGTTACTGACAATAGTCAAGATATGGAAGCATCCCAAGTGCCCATCAGTTGACACATGGATAAAAAAAGCTGTGGTGCATATATACAATGGGATATTACTCAGCCATAAAAAGAATGAAATCCTACCAATTGCAATGGCATGGATGGACTTAAAGGGCATTATGCTCAGTGAAAGAAGTCATTCAGAGAAAGATAAATACCACAGAATTTCAGTTATTGTGGAATCTAAAAAACAAAATAAATGGACACATAAAATTGAAACAGACTTGTAGACACACAAAACAGACTGATGGTTGCCAGTGGGACTTGGTGAAAAGGGTGATGGATTAAGAAGTACAATTGGTAGCTACAAAATAACCATGGAGATGTAAAGTACAGCTTAGGGAAAGTAGTCAATAATATTGTAATAACTGTGTATGGTTGCCAGTTAGGTACTGAAAACATCAGGGGGGACACTTCGTAAAGTTTATGATTGTCTAACTACTATGTTGTACACCTGAAATCAATACCACATAATATTAAATGTAAACTGTAATTGAAAAATATTTTTTTTTAAAAAAAGAACAACAAAAAACAGACTTCCCAATTTCATGTTCCTTTCCTAGATGGCCTCTCACCAGGCTCACCAGGCTCCTCTCTCCAGACTACTTTTCTAGAGTTTCCTTGGATTCTCTGCAGGAAATAAAAATGGCCCAAGTTATGCAGCTTCTCAAGCCCACTCCCCGGACTTTCTCTTCCCTGATCTTTCCTTCCAGCACTCACAGATACACAGACACGATCTCAAGGCTAGGGAAGTGAAGGCTGTCAAAGCTGTCTTACTAGAATGCTGGGCAACCTCTCCCAAATCTACCTTAAGATGTGTGTGCAAATGGAAAGAGTTTCCTTCTTGCCCTTCAACTTGTGACTTTCTGGCCCATTCTAAAGTGATAAAGGATTTATTTGCATCAAGTATGTAATGCATATTCTGTGAGCAAGGCAACATTTTCTCATTAGTGAGTCATTCTCTCAAAAAAAAGAAAGGCAAAGAAAAATTACTCATGTGGGCTACAATTAGTTGGTGAAAGTTTCTAGAACAATGCTTTTCAATAGTCCTTATATTTTTAGATCTTTGCTTATTGTCTAAATTTAAGGCGTTAAACATACCTTTGAACTTTATTTGAAGTAAACTACTGTTATATTTCTATTTTAAGAATGCTAAGGTCTGGCTAATGGGGAGGAGGCTGTTTCTCTAATCTGTGCTTTAATGTGTTCAGGGATTGTCTCTCAGATGTGTAATGCATCTGTAAGATGGTATTAACAACAATTTGTCATGATTAGGGACAAATTAGGTAGTCTTTTGACTGTCATGTTGTAATCCTAATGAAAACTGTCAAAATAATTTTATTTTCCTCTGAAATATCTCAATCAATTACCTTTAGCTGATTGCCAGAACTTTGACCTTGGTTTGCCTTTCAGATCTGCTGTTCCCAGAATGGTGTGTATATAGATATGGTATTAAATAACTCACCATTTAAAGTTGATTTGTTAGATTTTTTTTCTCTGCTATACAAATAAAATTCATTCTATTAATCATGAAAAAACGTATTAAGTATTTTCCTGGGTTTAAAAAACATATCTCAAAGTATCAAATGAACCCTAACATTTATGGCTGGTGCAGGTCCCATTCAGATTTTTAATGTCCATAGAACTCCTCTATGATCACATGGAACTTTAAAATAATTGACCCAACGAAGTGACATCTATTGCTAGGGTTAGTATGGGAAATGACACCCATAAGATCTCCTTGACAATGTTGGGGAGACCAGGCTTCCAGGAAGGTCAAACTCATGGTTCATATGAATGAAGCAGGTTCAGATAACAGGCGAAGGCAGACCAAATATTAGCATTTTAATGGCCCAAGAGAATAGGGTTTATGCTGGCAACAACATCCTTGAAACCCCCATCTCCACCCCAGTTCTGTCCCTCAGTCCCTTTCTATTGGAGCTTTGTTATCTCTTAGAAGCTGGGAAAAACTGAGGTGCTTGTACAGAATAATGATTCATGGGTCCCTTGCCACAAAGCTGAGTTCTTAATTACTCCAATTGCCTTTGGGAAAAATACAGGAAGACTGAATTATAAATAATATTGAACTTCTCAACAGTTCAGCAAAATTTTGCATGAGTAGTCTTTATGCACTTCCTCCTATACTTGATTATAAACTCCTCAAGGATGTAATACCTTAATCAATAAAGAAAAAAAAATTAACACCTCAAGGGCAGGAATAATACTAACGCATCATCGCCTCCCCTGAATATCCACCACCATGGAGATGGTCAGATATTGTTTGCTGACTGAGCAAATAAAGGAATGGACTTCTGTCTCTGATAAGATGTGTGATCAGGTATCCAACGAAAATTAAAAAGACAGGAAAATATTTTTTAAGCCTTATTAATTGCATTGAAGACATTGCAAGGTTGGGGGTAGGGTGGGATTTTCAGGCCAAATTCTACCTGTGGTAGAAAACACAGATAAGTTTATTTTCTTATAGGAGGACGCCAATCTTGCCCTGAGAACATTTGCTAAGCCTTGTAAATCTGAACTTCAGTTTTCATGGCCTCCCTAGTACAGGAACAGAAAGCTGTCAAGTGGAGAGTTTAATGGGAGACCTTTTCCTTCGAAGCTTCATTTTCAGAGTGAGTCTGATCAGATATAAACTACTTTTCTCAACAGGAGGGCACTTCAAGGAAAGTTGCTTTGGTGCTGAACAAAAAAAGGGAGAAATGTCCCTGACAAGTTATAAACAAAAACTGGTCATTATTCAGATTTGCAAACTAAATTGAAATTCACTAGAAACCTGTAACAAATGTGCTACATTGCTACAGGATATTGATGGTGGGAGAGTCTGTGCATGGAGGCGCAAGGGGTTTGTTAACAACACTGTGCTTTCATTCAGTTCTGTTGTAAACCTAAAAATGCTCTAAAATATAAAATCTATTAATTAAACAATACTTTTGTAAGGAGAATGCACATAGTCAAAACCCAAAAATATCCAAAGAAACGTCTTCATGAGTAAAATTGAGCAGAAATTTGAACAGAAATGGAGCTCTTCAATTTTCAAATATTGAAGTAATAAGACCCACAATTTAAAATAAATCAAATACAAAACTGACAATATTTTCAGGAAATATGAAATATAAAGTACAGTGTAAGAGATTTGAATGACAATGAGAGAGTACTTTCAGAAATGATAAATATAACACCAGCAATAGAAAACTCAACAAATGGATTTATCAGCAGATTAGATATTTCTGAACAAAGACATTGTAAACTGAAAAATAGGCCAAAGGAAACACTTCAAAATGCAGCACAGACAAGAGATGAAAAGTCTGAATAAACAGCCAAAGACAGAGAAGATAGAGTGAAGGTCCAGAAAGAGAAGAAGAAGGAAGAAACTGAGGCAATATTTGAAGAGATAATGGCTGACATTTTCCATGATTGATACTAGATATTGATTCATAGATTTAGGAATCTTAAAGAATACCAAGCAGGGTGAATATAAAGCAATCCCTATCTAGTCTTATCATAGAGAAATTGCTCAATAACAAAGACCACTGGGAATTTTAAGGCAGTAGGAGAGAAAAAGATGATTACCATCAAGAGTTACATTTGGACTCACCATGGACACTGTAGAAGATTGGATTGATAGCTCTGATTTGCTGAGAGAAAATACTTGTCAACCAAGGGAAGGGGGAAAAACTCAGAAAAAGGAAAATCTGGCTACCTGCAGACCTTCTCAAAAGGAAAATCTAAAGGAAGAAGGAATGTGATCGCAGATAGATCTATGATGCAAAAGGGAATAAAGAGCATATAAAGTGGTAAGTGTGAGCACGTATTAGTGAACATAATACTGAAGCAGATTTAAGTTATCATAGATGTGTAAGCCAATCCTGTCCAAATTACACAGATGATCTGACTTCTTCTCACTACTTGCATTGCCACCACTTAAGCCAAACCAACTTCATCTTTTGCTTGGATTGCTGCAATGGTCTTTCTCATCTGTCTTCTGCTTCTGCCCTCAGCCAGATGGATCCCTTACCCATGTAAATCAGTTCATGAGACTGCTCTGCTCAAAACACACCAATGGCTCTTATTTCCATCAGAATAAAGACACAGTCCTGGCTGGGCAGGTGTGGCTCCTGGCTCTGTGGTTGAGCATCAACCTATGAACCAGGAGGTCACCTTTTGATTCCCGGTCAGGTAAGGTCACATGCCCAGGTTGCACTCGATACCCAGTGTGGGGTGTGTTGGAGGCAGCTG